CAAACTTGTCAAGCTCAGCGAACAATTCGCCTGCCACCAGAACAACATGAGCTACAAATTTTCGCTCTTATTCCAAACGCCTACTACTCACGTACCCATTTTGAGTTGCCTTCGAAATCTGCAGGTACAAACGCCCTCATAGTTACAATATGGCGCTTACATTCTCCGCGTCCCTCCTTATGCCGAATACATGACTGCTAGAATTTACAGCATCGGGGTCTCTTTCCGTAGAAGTACAATGACTGCGGTGTACTTCAGTGCCTTTATGCTAAGGAGATAAATATTGGTGACCTACCTGAAGTAGTATATGAATTGTTACTTTTAATCCTACACTACCAATATTTTCATTGGCGTTCCGGATATGTTATTTACATTAACGTTCCACGCAAGTCTCCTTTGCCTGCTAGATAGTTACTTGGGCAGCCAGAATGAGGATTGTGTATGAGCAAGCAATCTCTTCTTGCGTCCATAACCTGAATTCTAGACGTTTCATTGATGCATAGCTATCGTCCACAATGATGCAGTTAGTTTTGCTGTCAGAAAATTTTACTATCGCAAGTACCGAAATACGATGTCTTGTTTATGTAGAACGAATTTGCGACCACCTAAGACCCACCCCTGTCAAATGCCTACTTCTGCGTTGGTCAGCCTCATCGCCCTGCATAGATTATCCGTGAGTCTGTACACTTGTCCATTTCTGTTCCGACGCTATCTACCATGACGCCATTCCTGTGTGACCTAGAGTCCGATTTCCAGTTCATTCACGTCATACCTCGCTTTCACTCCTACATACAAGTACCCCTATGTTCGGCCTTATTGAGATGCCATTGTTTTCCCTTGATTTGATCGATTTGTGACTCACAGCTAGGTGTCTCAGACCTTGCGGCAGTACGTTTTCATTGGCGGACACATACCTACTACCTATTGGCTCATTTGGAATTTTACTATAAGCCCTGTGTATCTCACTTTGATTCCATTGTTTCTTTCGTATGTTTGGACTCACGGGTCGCTCTTGGATCTGAGCGCGAATTGTTGGCATACTTTTGTGTTTGGAAATCCTTATGGTAAGGTATATTTTGATACGATGAATTTGTACAGATAGCACCGTTATCTCAGGTCCGGACTTGGTTTTCTGCTGAGCATTCCGGTGGGATACGTGTGGCTTACGTTTACAAACGCTCTGTAGCGTTACATTGTTTAACGATCCCTGAATTTGGAGCAAGTGATCAACATTAAAGCTTTGAAAAGGTCTGCCCCGTTGGATTACACAATGCCAAGGAATAAGAAGCCCTCCACGAATGCCAAGGAAGCCATGTATGAAACCCAGCAAGTCGAGAATTTGCTCCTCGTTGATAACATTGTTTCTTGCTCTGGATCGCGTAGTAGTTGTGGGAGTAGTGCGCGTGCATCTTTAAGGCTAGCGGAACTTAGAAGACAACAAGCTGAAACTGCGTTAGAGATAGCTAAATTGCGGCTAGAAATGCAAGAGAGTCCTGATTGCCCCGACCACGTCGCTGCATCCAGTTTCCTACCTAATGTTAAGTTTGACCGAATGAGTCCGTATTTGAATGATTGTCAAGAGACAGTGCCACCGATGATTACCTACATGCCATATCATCAACCGTTACCAGGAGGTTATCGTACGTCATTAGATTTGCCGAAGGTTGTGTTAGAAATTTTTGATGGTAATCCGGCAGCTTACTGGAGGTTTATCAAGCAGTTTGAATATTTTGTCGAGAGCCACCTGAGTGAACGGGGGCAGCGGTTGCTCTGTCAAGTTTATCATTACAAGGATCTTGCAAAGTAGGCTATAAGCGAATGTGTAATGCTGCCCCCTGAACAGGCCTATCATAAGGTTAAATCCATCCTCCGCGAACCGTTTGTCCAGTCCCATTTTGTTACCCGATAATCGAAGGTCTGCTTAATGGATGAGACCACTCGCTGGGGATCACGACGCTCTGTCGTGTCTCTCCATAAACTAGACAATTGTTATGTGGTCCTATCTCAGATGAATTTGTCTGCCGATTTCCACTCCGTGGCTACGTTAAAGAGAACAGTCCGTGTTCTCCCAAACTCGGTACAAAGTAAATGGTCGTAAACAGCTGATGGGAAGTTGTTTTTAAAGACTGGCGGACTTCATCACCACTAAAGATCGTGTTGCTCTTAGTAGGTTTGGGCAGATGACGACCGCAAGTACGCTGCGACAGTTGAATGTGACTGTCGAGACGATTATTTTGTGACAAAGGAAGCGATTGTATTTTCGCCCTATACACCACGTTAGATGCGCCCAAGAAATCACTGTGTTTGGCTTGTGGCGACAATCACCTACATCATCGTGCCCTAAGTTTGCAGCCCTGGATGTAGTCAGGCGCTGAGATCTAATTACTAATAGGGGCAATTGTTACAATTGTCTGGAGACTGATCACCACACCGCCAGCTACCGGGTTAGCAAGGGTTGCAGCCTGAACACATGGAAGAAGCGACTTCACTCGCTGTTACATAATGAGTCAATGCAGAGGACTCCAAAGAAAGAACCGAGCAACTGCCACAACACTTACAGCACTCTAGGAAAGGTCTCGTTCGGAGTTTTACACGTGCGCTTTATGGACCCCTTGCGATCCATTGAGACCTATGCTTTAGTAGATAGTGGTTCCGATGTAAGCCTGGTACAGGAAGATATTCTACGGGAAGCTGGAGTAAAGATCGAATCTGCTTCCTTGAAAATGCAGACATCGAACGCCTGTACCTCATTGGACGTTGGTTTTGCTAGTTTTCCATTGTCTTCTCTGAGCGACTCTGATAGTATTGTTGTAGACCATGCATATTGCTTACGTCACCTACCATTGCAACCCATGACAGTGCCTGTCAGTCAGTTAGCTGGGCGGTGGCCACATTTGGTGGACGTCAACTTCGATGATTTGAGAGATACCAAGGTCAGGATAATCCTAGGTGCCGATGTTCCTGAAGCCCACTGGCAGATTGAAAGATGAATTGCCGGACGAAACGCCGTTTTGCTGCAAAAACTCTATTTAGTTGTATATTCCTTGTAACCGTTGGTCGGAGTATTCGGCCTTGTGCCTCCGTGAATTGTGTACAAATAAATGATATGTCACTCGAAGAGTAGGTCAAGGTCATGTTTGATAGCCGTTTTGAATGTGTCGGTTCGAGTAGTCGGTCGGTATCCGAGGAATACACATCCCTGTCTATCGTCGAAAGCTCCGTACGCCTTGTTGATGGGCATTACGAGATAGCCTTGCCGTGGAGAAATCGGAGTGCTGATGTTCCAAACAGTTACGAAGCGGCTCGGAGTAGGTTAGACTATTTGAGTCAACACTTACTGACTAAGCCATCCTTACGAGAACGGTGCCTAAAGGCGCCTGTGGAACGTGCAATAAGATGGTCAAAATAGGGGTTTTCTGTGGAAACCGCTAAACCTATTTTCATGCGAAATGCGGGAAACTCAAACCAAGCGAGTGCTGGTTAATCAGTAGCAGGCCTGACTCATTTTGGTTCCTTGCGAAGTGTAATACTGTCCCACTAGTAAAAATCGCAATTGTGCTGTCCCAGAAGTATGCAAGACTTACAGACGTATTTGAGAAGATGCTGGGCATCAAAGTAGGTTCGGCAGAAACTAGCCTAGCAGAATGTCTGACACAGTGCCCTCCACCGAACTCCACTGCAGGCCAACTCAACACTCTCGAATGCTACACTAATAAAGTTGCACCTGCAAACACTGCCAATAATCCAAATCTCCTAAGGGTCCCCGAACACTTCACTCCCAGCCCATTTACAGCGTTTTCCTTAAGGCACCCATTGTCTCACAATACATTCGGAATGAGCACGGGCTCACCAGAGCGGATTTTGCTTGCCCTGTATGCATGTCATGGAAACGAGTTCCGCTTATATCGCTGGAGAATGAAGCCGTGAAGTTTGTATACTGTCTACTCCGCGTATTTCTCCTCTAGACGACCTGTCGTTGGATACAGCCTTCTGTTCTTCTAGCAAGCAGGACGTTGAGAAACAACAAACACTTTTGTATTTTCTGCTAGGTTAACTGCTTAGACCTGGTTAACGTTGTCGAAAACCTAATTGAGGTCACTGTGCTCACCAGCCGCGACAAATATGTCATCCATGTTAGTTTGCGGACCTGACCGACAGGTGACCTATTTAATGTAAACCAATATGATCACATATACCATCATTGCTAGCTTCTTAGGTATTTTATTGGTCTGAGGATGAATAATTGAAAAAAATAAGTGTACGTTCGGCCCACGCTTTCAGTATATATCTTTTATCCATTGGCACTTTGAAAACGTCCATTGTTTCTAAACTTTGCGACTATTTACTTATTCGATTCTTCAGGGCGTATTTACTGGACGAACCTGTGTTTGGGTATTCATCTATGGGATTTTCACACCAAACAATACAACTCTATTTGTCTTCATATAAAAGTCAAATTTGTTAACTATTAGATGACTTATGAGCATGTCCGGATTCGATACACCTCAAACCCGAGATAGGCATTCACAGTCAATGCTGGAATCACCGTTAGAACACTTGCCAGGAGATTGTACGACCACCTGTCGTGCAAATTAAATTCACTTCTACCTTAGCATTGATATTTTGTAGGAATACAACGGGCTTTACTTACTCCGAGAGCTGATGGTCATTATGGCATTGATTGGTGACTACAGAATGTGCTGTGGGATCCCAGCATTACGACACGAAATCCGTGCATAACCCATTCACTTTCGATTACGGACTACTATCCATAGATTATCCGCTTTATCTGAATAATTATCGATCATTTTAGTACCGTTGGTTTCGTTATCACGGAATCCACTTTGCCCTTATCCTACACAGCATAAAGTCTCGTTCAGTTACTCCATCTTCTTCACAAATCCCGAGTGGTCATTATGTTTAAATTACACCTTAGCGGTCAAATATCCTTTTACACCACCATCTTAGTATCATCAATAGGAATTCTAACAAGGATGAACCAACTGAAAAAGTTGTATCTTGTCCTTGCATGAGACGGGGGTGTTCCACTCGTCATGCTGACACATGTGTATGTTGTCTTTTGTCCAACACATCAACAGTGTTACGCTTACTAACGCTTTTGGTAGATTCGCTGAAATGCATTTGCGTATAGTTTCCACCTGTTGTTATTTATATAAAACCCAAGAACAAATCAAAAGGTGTACCGAAATGCCATACTTGATCATTTGGTTATGGTTGATCATAAAATTATCTGGACCCAGAATTGGTGTTTGCACTTGTGACATTGCGCTGGCACTGGAATTTCCGTGGAACTTTCAATAGCTGAGTCCTTCAGCTCGTGATCCAGGTACTCAGTCCGTATCAACAGCATCCAATTGCCAACATTTTTGTGAGTTCTGGTATCCGCTCAAGGTTCGTTGATCTAGTTATCTTAAAAACAATCATCATTCACTATACAAGGCTATTCTTGAAATATAGTCATTAGTAGGGTCGCGCATTCATCTACTTCTGAGGTAGCAATCGGAATTTGTAAGGAGGTCGTGTACTTTGTTGTAGATCAAATTGCTCCAAAGCGGATCATCAATGAGCTGATTTTCTTCTATTTGATGATTTCGAATGTTTCTTTGACGATGCGAGATGCCGCCCACTGCTCTCATCGGGACTTATTGATTCGGAACCGAAATCCCGATTAAACGAAAGACTGCCGGTATGGTTGCTTGCAAGACCACCATCAAACAACGCCTGCCGTAGTTCTAATGATAGGCGTCGCCGGTAATCTATCGGCTTGCCTTGTGCAATCCGATGCAACACCGCAGCAGAATAGGCAGCTGAAACAGATAGAAAGATAAATGGGAATTTCCTCATCATAAGTTGTCACCAGGTAGATGCGAGAAGCGAGACTTGTTAAGCATGTGTGGGCATGCGTGCCAATGAAATGCATTCGTGGCAAAAGAACGACACTTCCACATCCAAACTCACCGATATACTCGTTGTTCGACTGTACCAGTTCTGTGAGACGAGGACATGCCCCTTCTTGTTCTATAGTCTTTGAACCAGTCACCGAAGCGGATAATTGGCTAAGGAAAGCCACTGCAGCCCGTTGAATAATGGACGAGGCTGAATATAGGAGCTAGAAGAAACATATTTCAATAACGTTGGAAATACAAGTGATAAGATTTTGATTGCTGTTAACATGTTGAGTCCTGACTACAGTAATCGGACTATCATGTTATATGACTCACATATGAGCGTGGATTGCGGAAGCCTGACGAGTAGAAAACGCAGAAGTTTGTCCGTGCGCAATCGTTTTCTGACCGTATGTGTGTGTATACAGTTTTAAAAAACGCATCCACAGTCTCCACAATAGAACGGGCAGTCTGTTGGTTAATTCTTATGGTCCCTTCTCGTGATCAGCTTCGTACAATGAAAACAATAGACGAACCACCGCAAAAAAATGCGTAACGGGATGGACTACTGTGTCGCCTTTGGAATAGTGATTGATTTATCACCATTGCCCTTAGTGCGTTTCACGTTTCCCCGTTTAAGCTCATTCAGGCCTATCATGAGCCGAGACCTGGAATGTACTTGCCCGTCAGTGCGAAATGGCGCAGTAGTTGCTGACCTTTATCCAAATGAATGCGATCGCTACCTGGCACTGTAATTCTTAGTGCTAGCAGTTACTGGATATATTTTATCATCCCACTCGCAGCTGACTGACCTATCACTTTATCTCATTGCCGTCCCAGTCCTTCTCAGTTGAAACAACTGTCATAGGAAGAAATCACTCGAATCTGATTTGATCGAATACTGTACAAGCCAAATGCACAAATCAACCGCATTCGAAAAGAACTCAATCTGAGATTCAGTGTAAGTCTAGTTTGTTCACTAGTTAAGTTCAGCTCAAGATGTGAACATGATTGAATTTCATTAATTAGTATTGTACTGTACCAGGTCCGAGCTTGACCATGTAGCAACCCTTAAGGTAAGTAGACCGAGTAGCCTCGATTAGACGACCATTGCTTTTTCTTCTTCTTTTTTATCTTACCTTCCCTTTTCGCCTACAGTCATCACCCGTGGTTGTGCGCACCTTCCACTCAATTTCATCCCATCTGCAGCTGCATCCAACTTGTCACCAGATGTCTGCCAGGCGTGGTCTCTTACTAGGTGCTTGTGATCCATCGCAATGAGGCTGGACCTTACCGTGGTGTGATGATTTGCGTGCCTCAGAAATCCATTGAGCTATGCTGGGTGGTGCTCTTTTTGCACCTTCAGAGGCACTCATACCAGATTGGTCAATGGTTAGAGGCCAGACAAACTCAGCCTCCTGGTCCTCCAGGTTGGGGGTTGGAGTGAGGGTGGCTCCTTACTCCATAAAACGGGCTCCCTGTAGTCCAGTGCCAAAACCCCGCTGCCTTGCGGTAAGGTTTTTGAACCAAAGGCTTTGGTTGAGAACCCTAATCGTTCTCCTGTCTAGGCCTGGGAAACCTGACAGTATTCTACCCACGCAATACAATGAACCTTTCCTACAACAATTTCTTGATGCTCTGGCCGTCGCAGAGGATAATCAACGACGTCCCATCTGCTGCATCGAGCAGGGTGGATAGGGGTTTGGATGCTACTGCTCAGGCCTTCCCGTCTTCTTATACCCCTTCTTGCGCTTCTTCATCCTTATCGTCCCGCTCCAACTTTACTTATATCCCTCCCATTTTCAATCCCCCAATTCTTGGCCCTCCCCCAGCTTGCTTCAGTAGTCGCTTGTCTTCTAGTTTCAAATCACACACAATCGCAAGGCGTCGCTCCAATCCAGTCAAGTTCATGTTCAACCAAGCGGACAACGTCAGTTCATCCGTTTCCATTTGGAGTCCTCGTGTCTCGCTAAGACTGGCATGCCTCAACGTGCGCACTTTGCTGCAGATTGGCCAACAGGCAGCACTTGCCCGCACACTAGAGACCCTATCGATCGATGTTTGCTGTTTATCAGAAACCCGCCTGCAAGTTTCGAGCTCCGTGCTTACCCTGAGATCCCCCACATGCGACACTGGCGGCACATTCTCATTGCGCCTGTCTGGCGATGATGCAGCTTCAAATGCCGGTCAAGCTGGCGTCGGCATTGTTTTGAGTCCCCGGGCTGAAGTTGCCCTAATCGATTGGATCCCAGTAAACAGTAGGATGTGCGCCGTTAGATTATCTGGTTCGTTCCATGCTACGAAGTCGCGCGGGGACAAACGATGCCTGTTTGTCATTGCGGCCTACGCCCCTACAAACTGTAGCACTGATTCGGTAAAAGATGATTTCTATCAGCAACTTCACGAGCTCCTTCGTTACAGAAGAAGCACGGATACTGTGGTGTTGGCTGGCGATCCAAACGCCCAAGTCGGAAAATTGTCCTCTGATGAGCTTCATCTGGGCGGCCAACATGGTGTAGGCTCCCGTAATGATAACGGTGAGCGATTGCTACAGCTGTGTGAAGATGCTCGCCTCTTTCTCGCGAACACTAACTTTCGACACAGCACCCGCAGAAGCGTGACTTGGCGGCCACCAGCCTCGGGCCAGCCATGGACGCAAATCGATCATATCGCGATCAGTTACCGCTGGAGAAGCTGTGTCCAAAACTGTCGCTCGATTTGGAGCACGAGCGTGGACTCTGACCACGCACTTGTCTGTGCCGACCTCCTGGTGCGTTTCGGTGGACGTCCGCAACGTCGATGTAAACGGATTGACACCAGCCAGCTGGCGAAGCCAGATGTTCTGAATGTGTACCAAAGTGCGCTGACATTTGGGCTGAGTAAGCGCCCACTAAACACCGTTGAAGATCACTGGTCGCATATTCGTCAAGCGTTGCTGTTAGCAGGCATGTCTTCATGTGGCAAAGCAAATTGCCAAACCGGACATTGGGTCTCTACACAGTCTCTGGAACTTATGGATGCTCGCCGACGTATTCCGGCTGGAAGTGAATACAATGAGGCTCGCAAAAATCTCAGGGCAAAACTACGTGCTAGCCTAAAGAAGGACCGCGAAGCCTGGTGGTCTCATCGTGCCTCGGAGATGGAAACAGCCGCTGCCGTTGGTAACCATCGTAAGTTATTCCGTCTGATACGGGAAACAGGCAGCAGGAGACCTGGTGTTAGTGAGACCATACGCGACGAGAGTGGGCAGCCGATCCACAGCCTGTCAAAACGCTTGGAGCGTTGGGCTGAACACTTTGCAAGGCAATTTAACCAACCTGAGTTATCGGTTTCTTTTTCGGGCATTGAGCGCCCTTCTCCCTGGGCCGTCTCCTTGGATCCGTCCTCACGCGCAAAAGTCGAACGTGAGATCAGGCTGTTGAAATTGCATAAGGCCGCAGGGGCAGATAGAATTCCCCCAGCCCTCTTCAAATTCGGGGGACCTGCTCTAGTAGATGATTTACACGAGTTGCTAGTAAAACTTTGGGAGCAGGAGACTGTCCCGACAGACTGGAACCGCTCCGTCATTGTCCCAATTTTCAAGGGAAACTCCCGTTTGGAATGCGGCAATCATAGAGGGATCAGTCTGATTTCGATTGCCTCTAAATTGCTTGCCTCTGTCATTCTCCACAGACTGACTGGCACTCGTGAAAGCCGGATTCGTGAAGAGCAAGCCGGATTTCGTCGAGGTCGGGGCTGCATCGACCACATTTTCACCTTGCGTCAAGTGTTGGAGCACCGCCATGTTTATTGGCGACCCACCGTTGTCGTGTTTCTTGACATAAAAGGTGCCTTCGACTCAGTCGATCGATGTGCCCTTTGGGACTGTCTGCTGAGGATAGGTGTGCCTGATAAATATGTAAACATTATCAAAGCGCTGTACGCGCATAGTTCGGGCAGGGTGAGGGTTTATGGCAAACTGTCGCCACCCTTCAGTATCACCAGCGGTGTGAGACAAGGATGCCCGCTGTCACCTTTCCTCTTCAACTTCGCTATTGATGAAGTCATGGAAACAGCGTTCGCTGGACACGACCTAGAAGGTGTGGAGCTACTTCCTGGTGAGCGATTTCTTGACTTGGAGTATGCGGACGATATTGCCCTAATATGTGACAGCTCCCAAATATGCCAAACAGCACTGGACCGATTAGCACTGGCTGTCAATCGTTTTGGGCTATGCTTTGCTCCATCGAAATGCAAAGTATTTCTCCAAGATTGGCAGGGACCCAACCCTGCGCTAACGCTTGGTGGTGATCTGCTAGAAGTCGTTCAGGAATTCAAGTACCTGGGCAGCTATATTAGCACCCGTGGGATTGAAGATGAGGTTACGAACCGTATAGCAAAAGCTCGAGGTGCTTTTGCCAATCTCCGCCATCTGTGGCGCAGACGCGACATTACTCTCGCCCTGAAGGGCAGAGTTTACAACGCAGCCATCCGTTCAACTCTCCTATATGGCTGTGAAACCTGGCCCATCAGGTCGACAGACATGAAGAGGCTCGTCACATTCGATCATCGCTGCCTTCGCAGATTAGCTCATGTCTGGTGGGAACACCGCGTGAGCAATGAGCGTGTTCGACGTCGCGTATTTGGTGCAGGAAGAGCGAGTGAACCGCTCAGCACCATTATATCACGCACCAGGCTCCGATGGCTGGGCCACGTGTTGCGCATGCCAGCACACCGACTCCCGCGACGTGCATTGTTTGCGCGTTGTGGGTGCGGTTGGAAGAGGAGGAGGGGAGGCCAAGTGATGACTTGGTCGAGAGAAATGAAAACCCTCACTTCGAAGTTGGCGTCGGTTGGTGCATCCCGACTGCCTGGCTGGGGTCCTAAGGACGGTGAACACGTTTGGTTGGACACACTTGCTGATATGGCTAGGAGCCGGCCCCAATGGCGTTTGTGTTGTGAGTTCCTTTGTCCATCTCCCTCCTGTTTAGCATCCCCCTCCAATCACGATCTCACTTGTTAGGCATAATATGACTCTTTTACGGCAGCCAGCTGTTAGCTCTCCGGAACGATGTCCATCCGTTACTGGGGACACAGCTGGCACGCCACTGTTTTCCTTTCCTTGTCTTTTGCATTGCGGCACAATAGCTGATGTGCTTTCCACCTCCAGCTAATGTGTAATGATTATTTTTGTCCGTCGCAATCAGCCGACAATTCAGATATGTCGACCAGCTATCCGGAAAAGCACCATACGGCCGTTTCGCCCTATTGGGGCTCATCAGTGGTGCGCATCCTTCGGTCCTCTGCGGAGGATCGAACCCATGACTGCTAGTGGCTCTTGCCAACTAGCCCGCAGCTTATGCAACTGCGCCTCCGCAGAGGACCGAAGGATGCGCACCACTGATGAGCCCCAATAGGGCGAAACGGCCGTCTGGTGCTTTTCCGGATAGCTGGTCGACATATCTGAATTGTCGGCTGATTACGACGAACAAAAATACTCACCAAAATCCTTCCATTCATAAGTAATACCAGTTCGCCCTTACGGATTCCACAAAATGCTATGTCGATTCATAGCTGCCGTAACCGCGAAGTCCTGACGCCGGAAGGCCGACCGCTGTCTTCTGCATGGCAGGTGCCTGCATGGCAGTGGAGGATGCGTCGGGCTATATCGCATTTAGCTAACAATTCATGATAGTCGGATACCGTCCTCCATGGCGCAGTTGCATAAGCTGCGGGCTAGTTGGCAAGAGCCACTAGCAGTCATGGGTTCGATCCTCCGCAGAGGACCGAAGGATGCGCACCACTGATGAGCCCCAATAGGGCGAAACGGCCGTCTGGTGCTTTTCCGGATAGCTGGTCGACATATCTGAATTGTCGACTGATTGCGACGAACAAAAATACTCACCAAAATCCTTCCATTCATAAGTAATGTGTGATGATGATGATGATGAGGTGCTTGTGATAACTTCATCCAACCGCTTACGAGATATTTGCTTTGTATTGTAATCCCTAGGTCTATTACGATCTACGCACTCATTGAACACAGAGGTCATCGGAATCCTCGACTGGATGCATATTGCATATACACCTTCGTTCCTTCGCTTCCTATAAAACACTATTGCCTCTAGTTTCATGTTTTCTCTATGGAATTGTTTGGAAGCAGTTGGGGGCGATACAACAACATTATTCGATCTCAAGGTTAATGAGTTTGTCCCCTGCTATGTGACCGAGTGTCCGTCCTAGTTTCGTCCCGTTATTCCGAGTTCTCCACTGACCTTCTTTACTATTGTGATATGCACGAGGTCTTTGCTCCACAAGGGAAATGCTCCCTATATTCGGTCTCTGAAAATGACTTTCATGCTGCCATAGCTACTGTATCAAGATGGACTGGTGGTATTTGTGTCCGGATTTGCCTGGCACTGTGGCATCCGCGGGGACAGCCACGGGACTCTTGTGCCTTCATAGGAACCATGGGTGGCTTGCGCTGCACCACCCACTGTTCCACCCACACACCACATATCCGGTGTAAACCCGAAGAGATAAGACCGGAAGGCATGGGGATGGGAACGAAGTTTCATTGACGGAGTCGGCCCACACTCCTTCAACACGCACAGCAGCATTCATGTCTATTTGGGTAATCATGCGTATTCGACGTGCACAAGGCGGTGGCTGGGCCGTAGGCCGTTCATCCATACAGGATGGAACAACGCTTTGAACCTAAAGCCGTCCCGAGGACAATGCACCCCGTCCCCCACAACAACGATATATGGTCTCCTGGATCCAGTATAATTGAGGTAGAGGAAAATGGATGGGTAGGTACCTTGTCAACACTTACCTCAAGCGCAGCCAAACATTGCATATCACACGGGAGGTTTCGTGTGTCAAGCGCATCTCCGACAGACAGTCAGTCGAGTTTAGGTTTCATCAGCCTCGATCTTGGCAACTGCCCAATAGCAGTTCGAACACAACATAACTACGTACGTTCACATGCATTTGTCCACACAGGCACAGAGCCAATTGGAGCATGGAAGTGCGGGTGAAACCCATCGTGGAAATACCCTGAATGGAAGCAAGTCCCCTGGGGACAGTTCCATGGATGACCGTATTACTTTACTTGAACTTTCCGCAAAATCTGCATTTATTATTGTTCCCAGTTTCTTTATCTCTCTACTTTTCCCAAACTGCTAATCATTTCAAAAACCCATATGAGAACCATTGATCAAAAGACGAATAATTGACTATATTATGCGATCACGTCGTACATGTTGATAAGACCGCCCAATTGGTCTGTGCCTCGCACTGCTGAGGAATAAAACGTTTATTTATTTATTTGTTGTGTATGTACTACCACTAAATTAATGGAGAAACATGAACCTTCATGGATAATAGCACTACGAATGTGCAAGGGTTTATATTGGAGGCAAGATAAACGGCCATATTTGTCAAGTTCTGGGGAATCGCGCGTACGAGAGTAAGCAACCAGTATGAACTGCCAGTGGTTATTTTAAGCTTAGATGTGAACCTAAATGCCAGTCTTAAATTTAGTCAGAATCGTGGGCATCAACAATTGATAAAGTTATGGGGTTGGGAAACAAGAGAACTCAGTACGGTCCAGTTTACTAATGTTCATGTGTGTCATACACCACAAGCACTGTGTATCAGGTAAAGGCTATCAGGTTGACAAAGGTGAGGATTGGTTGTTCCTCGGCAACAGTTTTCTTCTACATAGACTTACCTGGACCACAGTTGGAAGCAAACCGGCTGTATGCACCAACTCTTCATGCGCCGCGACGTCTTTAGCCATTGCCTGTAATGCGACTAGGCACAGCTCCAACATATCTTCCAATCGGACCCCTTCTATGCAGCCAAGCTTTATCCCAACGGAGTCCAAGTCATCGGAATCCTCAGCTAGAGTCATGGGACCGGACTGGATGGTGTTGTTCGCTTGCTTTAGAATGATGGTCACCGACTTAATGGTGCCAAGTTGCCTGCAATAATGTGGAAAATGAGAACGGAAATCTAGATGAGCTTGTCTCCATTCGTGGATTGTAGCTTCAATATGCTCACTTTAATATCCGTCCTTATTCTCATACATCATGGTACTGAATTGTGATAAACAAATTTATTTGCTTGGAATTTTTCGAATGATTGCAGTTCGCTTATCACCACTCCCCCCTAATTCACTTGCACAATTGGAGCCAGCAAATGGTGTAACTCAGGGGCATCGTAATCACCACACTGCTTTAATAATCACACACGGTCCGCAGTGAATAATTAAATAGGTTTAACAAATTTTCTGAAGAGATGCAATATCTCACGATCGATTTATAAATAAATAAATAAATAGGCATATTTCCCGATGAGGGGGACAGGTCCATTTTGCGGAACGATCATTTGTACAGCGAGTTTCGTTATTATTTCATGTATAAACTCCATTCAATGTGGAAGAGTTATGCAATGTTTTTTGCGTCTACAATATGTAGGATTATTTCTTAGTTCATATTGTCGTATGTTGTTCGGGTCCAAATGCATGATAGCGCTGGTGAATTGTTTAAGTTCGAAAAGTTTGAGCACTTTTGGCATGGAAAGAAACGTTATTAAATTAGTTTTAAAAATGGACAGGCTCCCGTAGGTCCTTAATTGCATCGAGATTTGATTCCACAGATGGGCGTACCTCACCAAGAAGAATTTTAAGCGGATATTTTTATTGTTCCCCTGTAGGGATAGTTGACATTTCCCATTACGGGTGGGATAGGTTGAGCCATTATGTAATGCGACGGTCGTACTGGTTGAGCAAACTCGCGAGAATATTATGCAGTGAAGCGTGAAATTGCTTTTCAGCCGTCGAAGCCAGAGTGGATCGAGCTGGAGGTGAGAACATCGCTCCTCATAAGTAAGCGATGATGAGCGCCCCATAAGCATTTTAGTAAATGAGCACTGGAGGTTTTCCAAAGCAATTCCGTCTGTTTTACGTAAGTGGATATGTTTGATGGTGCAATACTCTAGAGCGGGTAACACAATGCGTTTGAGTGATTCGTGCCGTGTTTAGGATAGGGAAATGACCTAGCGATATAGCTTGATAGTCGCTTCATTTTCGCTACGAGGTAGGATGTATTCGAAGAACTAAAAGCTGCCCGAATATCGAATTCCTAGGTCTAAAACGGAATAGGCAGTTGGAATGGGGGTGCTAGTGAAAGTGGTAGATCCTTCTGCTATACTGCATCTGTGGCAGAGTATCTGAGATTCACCTGAAGAAAACCTTATTGAGTTGCTTTCGCTCCATTTGTATAGGGATGATAAGTCCTCGTGTATATGTTTTAAGCACAGTTCCTGATGGTCGAAATGACTACACTAGTTTCATGTTGTTAGGAAGGAATAATCAATGCGAACAAGCCAGGACCCCATTGCCGCGGCAGGCGATCCAAACTCATCCGCCCTGATTGGGGCGAACAGAGAGCCAATCTGGAAAAGCGGCCAATTAACGCGAGGGCGGCGTTCCTTTGTTGGCTGTAAGCTGACCCTTCCAGAGCTTTCCACTCTCGCTTTAAATACCATTCACGAACTTTCCATTTCACCTTAAATGCTTAAATGTATATTTATAACGGAACCACTCGTTCGTTCGCGAACCAAGGATAAGTTGCCGATGCTGACCGCCTCAATGGTTATCTATCAGTTTGAATGCGCTTGTGGCGCATCGTATATCGGTCGAACGGCGCGGCACCTGTCCAAACGCATGAACGAACACTGTCCGCGTTGGCTACATCGAGGTGGCACTGGAGCCATTAGTAGCTCTATCCTGGCTCATATTGTCGACAGCGGACATCAAGTGGATCTAGAGCGTAACTTTGGAGTAGTATACAGAGTTCCGCCGCACCGGTCAAAGGGTCAACGTCTCCGTACACTCGCAACGGCCGAATCGATTTGTATTCGATCATTCCGACCATCGTTATGCTCGCAACAGAAGTTAATTAAGGCTGTTCAGCTTCCCTGGCCCGCAAAAGCGGATGATAATGAGGTCAATGGCGCGAGGTCAAGAAACCCGTAACTTTTAATTAACCCGTTTTCGATTTTTACCCTACGTTAATTGTATCAACTATGTCGATCTTACTTTTTTAACCCTATATATGATTGTATCGGTCTGAAGATGAATCATCGAAAGCAATTGCTCACCAAGTGGTCTCTTTGTTCTCATTTCACCTTTATAATGAACGGTGTGATTTGCTAATTCCTTCCTGTTGCTCTGCTCGTCCGATCCGGTCTTCTCTCTGTCCTGTGGGGGGCCAGGGACTTGGGAATCAAGCGTCCATTCATGCGAGGGACGAACACTTCACTTGTCATTCATAAATACAAGTAGGCCCCCGTGGCTAATGTACTTATACATATCGTTTATATAAATGAGGAAAAGCAATGGGCCCAATACACTGCCTTGAACAACACCGATGGTGACATTTCTGGAAGTGGAACAATATTGATCACTCTATATTCTTTGTGTTCAGCCGTTAAGATATGAATCGAACCAACTCAAGAGAAGGTTGCTAATTCCATAGGACTCCAGCGCGGCCAACTATGATTTGTGCGGTGCACAGTCAAACGCTTTTTGCATATCCAGAAGGATGATGATGATGATGGCCATGCCGTCATCTAAGGTTGCTGTAATGTGATCGAGGAATTTCAAATGGCATGTGACACAAGAACGTTTTGTGGTTAACCCATCTTGGGAATTGCAGACTAGGTTTTGTGTTTTCAGGAACTGTGTTACCCGAGCCTTGACGATACTCTCTAAGGCCTTAAAAGCGGCGTAGGTATGGTTTATCGGTCGATAATTGGACATTCTATCTCGTTGACTGCCTTCTTGTTTCGGTAAGGTTATGGAATTTTCCACTGAAGCGGAAAGCAACTAGTGTTTAGTGACGGTGTAAAAATAATCCACATGAAGAGAGAAATCTTTTAACCACCTAACCTTATAGCTGCTGGCGGAATACCATCAGGTTCCGGTTTGAAAATCAGTTTCATGGATGTCATGGTCATGTGTACACCTTTTAGAGTAAGAGGAGTTGTACATGACATCTCGCATTTTTCTTCAAAGGAGAGGAGAGGATACAGATGGTGCAGTAGTAAACGAGGCGGCAAAGTAGGAATTCATCGAATCACATATTTGGACTATATCGTCTGTTGCTGTACCGTCGTTTAAAATTAGGCTTGGAATTTCCTGGTGTCTTTTCGGATTTCTTCTGCGTAATTGCATCAGGGCACGGGCTTTCTCTGTATTCGTGATGGCTCGGGTTTTCTCGGCAATCCTGCACTGTTGAGTTTGGTGTTCAAGTTTTAGTAAGGTTTCATGTATTTGAATTAATGTAGCGATGTCAATTTTGTAGTGCAGTGATCTCAACTTTCAATGTATATTATATATTTATTCATAGTCTGTTAACAGATATTGTGCCATCAGAACCATGGCAGAAGAAAAAAAGTGGAGAAAATAGGAACACGAACTGCGATTAAAAATGGGAAACGATTTCTGGTTTTACACACGCCTTTTCGATTTTTTTTGTTTTCTGAGTTTATGTGTGTGTTAGAGGGGGAAATAATGGCAGAACAATCTTGACGCCACTGATGTCTGTTGCGGGCCATGACATCCACTATTTCCAACCACTGCGATTCAGCATCTCGTTGTCCCCAACCTGGAAGACAGACTGGTCCGATTGCCGCCAAACTTGAGGTTGCCTTCCTCATGCCCCTTCTCCATGTCATTGGCTGTCCATCGCGGCACTTTTTCCAGTCGCTTTCTGGGAGTGCAAATAGTACTCGACGTGGAAGGCGATGGGCTGGCATGCGCAAAACGTGCCCGAGGCAACGCATGCGATGTCGGAGAATAACGTCCTGAAGATTAGCACTATTCGCTCCAAGCATGCGGTCTCGCACCTCTGCATTGTTTGCGCAATGTTGCCACCACACCCGAGGAATCCTTCGTAGACAGCGATTGTCGAAGACTGACAGCCGCTTCATGTCTTCCGAGCGAATAGGCCAAGTCTCACAGCCGTACAAGTGTACTGTACGGCCGGAAGCATTGTACACCCTGCTCTTGAGCTTGACACTGACATCACGACGACGCCATAGGTTTCTCAGTTTGATGAATGCAAGGCGGGTCTTTACGATCCTTTGTGAGACTTCATCTCCAACATCGCCACCAGCTGTGATGCAACTCACTAGATAAGTAAAGCAAGGGATTTGCTCCAGATCATGTCCAGCAATGGTGAGCGCGGGTTCAGGCACCTGCCAGTCCTGGAGCAACGTTTTACATTTTCCCGGAGTGAAGCATAAGCCGTACTTAGACGCCTCCATTGCTAAGCGGTCCAAAGCGCTCTGGACGGTTTGTGGGTCGTCCCCCAGCAAGGCGATATCATCAGCGTAATCCAAGTCCGTGACTCTGTCTCCAGGGAAGAGCTCAACACTGCAGTCCTGGACACCTTCCAATGCCCTTTGGACATCTTTGATGGCGAAATTGAAGAGAAATAGGTGAAATTGAGTAACCTTGGCGAACACCGCTGATTTCAACAAATGAAGAAGAGAGCGTGCCGTAAGCCCTGATTTTGCCCGACGTGTGACTATAAAGTTCTTTCAGGGTGGCTACAAACTTGTCGGGCACACCTTTCAGTAAACAGTTCCACAACGCAGATCTACCTACTGAATCAAATGCCGCTCGGATATCCGAAAACAGTACGACTGTTGTTTACCGGTGGATGTGACGAAGTTCGAGAACTTGCCGAAGGGTGAAGCGTTGATCGATGCAACCGCGGCCTGGACGAAATCTGGCTTGTTCTTCTGAGGAAAACTCCTCTCTAGTCGCTGAAAGCCTGCTAAGTAGGACCGACACAGAGATTTTGGATGCAACAGAGAGTAACGAGATTCCGCGGTAGTCGCAGCAATCGTTCTGGGAGCCCTTTTGTGAATCGGAACAATGACCGATTCTCCCCATGAGTTCGGAACCTTC